AAAATGGTGCATTTTGACAGTTTAAAAGACGAAAAGTTGACGGACTAAGATCAGGCTAAGACTAACATGCTAGCTGGAAAAACGATGTGTGATTGGTTGAAATCAGCTGCTGTGGAACGCTGTGATTCGCTGAGAAGTGAGTGACGTGTCTGTCGGCACTTCCTCTGACGTGTCAGGTCGTAAAGCCCACCCCCGTGCTGTTGTCATTGGTAGATTTAGTCACGTGACCCGGAAATGAAAACTCGTTTTCATAGGGAATTTCAATCTGCTTTTTAAAGTCGAAAAACGCTTTAAAGTTGCATTCTGATCCGCTGCTTAATTTCTTTGAAGCCTAATCGCTGAAATGTTGCCACGTTTCAGTTTGAAATCCGTCATTAAATGGTGTTTTTGGACCACGCTAGCCGATGCTAATTATAAGCTAACAGCTAACGACCGGATGAGTGACGTGTCACGTCACTTCCTCCATGTCAGATTGTAAAGCTCGGTTGCACCGAAGCCTTCGCTGTGCTTAAAATCACTAAATGAAGCTGCCACAAGTCCCCAAAAACTCATGTTCATGCAAAAAAGTCGTGCTTGTGGAAACAACGCCACGTTTTAGCTTGAAATCCGTTCAGAAATGTTGATTTTAACCGAGTTTAGCCGAAGCTAATTTTAAGCTAAGCGGCTAACAACAGGATGTCAACAGAACGTTCACAGGAAGTTGTCATACGCTCCTGCTGGTAAAAAGCTAAACACTGCCCCCTCCTGGGAAACTTGATATCACAGTTTCACTCCGTTTTAGGTTATTTTTGATGAAATTAGACGTGCTTAGACGCATTTGATGAGTTAATAAACGTTTTTCAAGCTGAATTTTTACTGTTATCTTACATTTAAAAAGTGATTAAGGTATTTATGCAGAAAGGCATTTACCAACACATTTTTATTCACTGGTAATTCCTCAAGAAAGAGGTGCAAAATAAAAATTAGAAACTTTTTAAAAGATACAGTTACAGATATTCACAGAGTTGATAAAGTTTACTCATTTGCTAAAAGATAATGCACGTTTAATTGCTAAATCATTAAATAAGAGTAAATATATCAGAAAAAATAAACTTTTCTGTTTAAGTTACCACCTAAACAATTACATCTTCTTATTTATTTTTAAATAGAAGATATTGGCAGGAGGACAGGAGTATAACAGTTTTTCTGAAGAAAGACTGATTATTCCTCATCATCAATTTTCTTTTTTCTGTTCACCACCTGGTTTAATGAGTAGCTGTTAAAATAGCGAATTTCTGGAAGTAAACGGTTTAAAAAAAAAAGCGTTTTTAAACTGATGTGCTGTGAGACTTTTTAGAAAAATTGCAGGTTTATAAAAATCCAGTGCTTTAGAGTAAAAAACACTGAGAGGCTTGGTAATCTAGTATCTGTTAAAAAAAATAAGCACATTAAAAGTAACACTGCAGACAAGCATTTACTTAAATATTCATGAATTGGGGTAAAAACCTAAGAAACAGGTGCCCTTTCCTCTGAATAAGTTGACTTATAACAGTACTTTTGTGTAAACCCAGAGCTAAAATAGTGTGAAAACTCAATGACACTTGAATACAAATATTTACCTGTAAAATATCTGAAGCTGGCAACTGTTTTAAACAGATAAAGTGCTACACAGTGAAAAACATGACAGGTGTGGTAGGAAAAGATTTTGATCCTTATGAGATGAAGGACTGTTTAGAGTATGCGTTAGCACTGCTAGCAGGATCCTTACATCCATATGGCAAACAGGCGAACAGCATGAACCCAAAAGAGTTAGTGGACAATCTGATGGAGGTTGCAGAGAGTGTGACCTCTACAGAAATTACAATGTCAAGCTATGAAAAGCTGGCTAAAATGGCAATGTTGCTGAAAGAATCATACTTTGCATTAAGACGGGATCACGTCGTGACAGTGTCACAAGTTTCCCGCTGCAAAGATGAAATAGATGTGCTTAAAAAAGATCTGCACAAACGCGAAGTGGATAGAGAGATATTACTGGAAGAATATATGCGTTTACGAAGTGAATGTCAAACATCACAGGAACGCTTAAAAGCATGTGAGGAGAAACTGGCCGCAGCAACAAATAAAAGTTCTGACGTGGGGCGAGTTTATCTGGAACTCAGAGAAGACCATGGACAGAGTCCAGGTCACCCACAACCACCTCAGAAAGATGTTGTTGCACCTCCACATGAGTGGAGAGAAAAACCTCCACCCTCACGTAAAGTGGTAGGAACAGACCTGAACAGGTCTCCTCCACCAAACATGCAACAGAGTGCATGGAAACTTCCTCTTTCAATATATGCTCTGCTAAAACTCTCAAAATATGTACAACGCTTTGTACCTGGACCGATGGGTTCAACTGGAACAAAAGCGTACCTGAAAGACATTGAATTCAGATTGAATGGTTATCCTAATGCTACGGTTTTGGATAAAATCCGTCTGATAAGGCTCACTTCGGACAGAGAGGTGTTCACCTTCATCGAGCGTCTACCTGATGCAACGAGAAGGGATTATAACCTTCTGTGTGAAGCTTTGATCAGAGAGTATGACCCCTGCACGAGACCTGCTGGTTTCCCAGCCGCTGACAAGGTCACGCAGAGCAAGCATGCTGAAATGGGAAACCAACCTGAAGCACTATGTAGTGATGTGATTGCTACTAAATCTGAAGGCGCGAATGACAACATTACAGATGTCGGTGGAACACACCAAGACATTGCTGTCGTTGCCTCCAAGAACCCCTCATCGGACGAAGGGGGGGTAAACTCACACACAAACGATGATGAGTCATCGCAAGCTGAAAACTCAGAACCTGACTTTCATGATTTTGAACTAGGCATTCCAGTTCTGGGAGGACTCCCAGATAACCTGGTACCGAGTCAAGAAGCTGGGCCAGTATGGTTAACAAAACCATCACAGGCCATAGCTCTTTCCTCAAACAATGACGTCGACCAAGGACCTCAAACCTGTGGTGTCTTACCCATAGACAGGTCCGACGACTCAAAAAAGGATTGGTTGGAGCTCCCCAAGGAGCAAGAACCCTCATCAGTCTCATCACAGATTGAACAGGTGGTCGCCCAAGCCGACACTCTGACATCTGATGAAGAAAGAGACAAACTTTGCCAAGTTCTTTTAAAATATGAAAAGTCATTTTCAACTGACCCAGACATCACCCAACTTCAGAAGTTGGATGATCCTGCAATTAACTCGA